GATATGCAGCGACGTAAACTGCGGCCGACCCGCTGTCACTGACGGTACCCTGCGCTCGTAGAACGTAATTAATGGCCATTGAAGAAAATGGTATTGGGTGTCATTTCCTCGAACGACCGAACGACGAACGCCAAGGGCCCATGGTTGAGGCCTGGATTTTTCGGCAGTGAACGAGTCTCAGTGATCTTTCGTAATATCCACAAGTGTTTTGGATTACCAGTGATTAATTGAGTGATCAGTGTTTGGTCACAGTGCAGTGAATGTGAACTTCGTAAATAACCATACCAGAGGTTTATACCGACCATCTGTTTTTTATTGATAGTATTTTTCATATTTCTCTAATAAACAAATCTTTTACGTCCCTCAACGCGATTATTTATTATTAAATTAGCTTTGCGAATCATTCGTTGAATTCTGTTCGGACAAGGAATTATTTAAATTAAAATATCATTTACGAATTTTGTTAATCTTCACTGTACATCTTGCATAAAAATTTCATATGGTACACGTAAGGCGTCATGCACAACAGAAAATTAAAACGGCTGTCACGGTTAAACTACATATTATTTCGAGTCCGAAAAATTAGTCAATATTTTTCAGACATTTTAAAATAAGGATGCACAGTATTTTACGTAAAAGTATCACCGTAAAAAAAATCCGGAAAGTTCACGCTTCGTGTCTTGTTCAATACTTCGAACACGGCTCGAGTCCGTCTCGACCTTCTGTCAAAGTCTCGTGCTGCGGGATCTCAAACTTCGCGCCGTCACCTCTCATTGATTAGTGTTTTTCGTTAATAACTCGTAAACAAAGCCGCAGATTGCATTTTCGCAAAGGAAAAAGTTACTTAGAATGACCTCAGCTACTTCACATTTCCGTATTGCGGGACATTTTTGGGACACCCTGTATAATATTCAGTATACAATACATAGAATACATATAATGTACAGTATATAATATACAGAATATATATAATATTTAGTGTACAATATACATTATATGTATAGGATACACTATACTGAATAAGAAAGCCATAGCAAACATAGGCCAACCGTTTCTGAGATATTTGCTAGCATCGTGATTGACTTATAGTCAGTCACAAAAATATTTAGACACTAGTATAACTTTGACTACTACGCCATATATGTAAATTAATGTACATTGAGAAGAAGAAGTCCTTCACGGTATATTAAAGTAGAATATATAAGTGTTAACATAAAATAAACTTTCGATTTAGTTATAAAAAAAATATAAAAAAATATATAAAATATATATAAAAGACCGTCGAATTTTCAGGCTACATAAGTATTCGGACTCCTTATAAAGTTCAAAAATGATAAAATTAAATTTTTTTTAAATTTTTATTACTACGATAGTTTTATATCTCTATTTTTTTAACAACATGTTTTAAGAAGTTTCACATTTTAGAAATTATCATTTGTTTGTGATGAATACTGTTTTATATCTCTATTTTTTTTGTTGCAACTTGTATGACCGAAGTCCTGTATAATACACGGGTAAATATAATTTGTTATCGTAATTTGTTAATGCATCTGAGGAAATTTGTAAAATTGAAATGCATTTTTGGTTGATTTTTCCCATAATAACTCTGATATTAGCTGGTGTTTCGGACTTACCGTTAAAGAACAAACATTGAATGAGGAGAGTCACAAGGGAAGTTTGGCAACTTGAAAATTAAAAAACAATATGAAACTAGAGTAGTAAAGTAGTAGTAGTAGTAGTAGTAGTAGTAGTAGTAGTAGTAGTAGTAGTAGTAGTAGTAGTAGTAGTAGTAGTAGTAGTAGTAGTAGTAGTAGTAGTAGTAAAGTAGAGTAAGCCGTCTATAACACGCGTACATATTTTCCATTCGAGTCATAATTTACTCTTAAGGGGTAATTTCATTCCTTAAAGGGAATGCAAAATTATCTTTTTCGTCGACTATTTCGAGAACGGTGCGAGATATTGAAAACAAGTTTAAACAAAAGTTGGATGGATTTTGATGTTTACAAGAATTTATAAAAGGTTTTTTCAAAAAATCGATACTTTTTAAGTTGCCCCCTCCACCATCCCTCAAATTTCATGTTTTTATCTTTTTAAATCTAGGTTAAAGTTCTTTTCGGTAACCCCTATATACATTCTTCTAAATAGTTTATTTCATATATTTTTTATATAATACATAAATATAACGTCTATTATCGAATTTAAAGTCTTCTGTTGCATTGTTATTATTAGCTTACACATAGCTTACATTATTAATTATATCAGACTGTAATATGAAATTCGAAAAGTTAATTGATGACATGTACAATTAGTAATGACAACACATATAGACACGTTTTTTTTGTTAACACATGATACTTGTTTCATATGAGGCGTTGAGGGTAGTAGAGAGGAACTCAACATTTTGTCATTTGATCATTTTGTTCCATATTACTATAATAATTTTATTTGTTATATTTTTTTCTGTTCGGCAGAATTTTATTCTACTACCATTTCTAATAACTATTCGCGCACGTATGATATTCATTAACCTAGAACTCCTCGCACAGGTGTTGTATACTTTTCGACCGTATCAAGTCCAAAACATCCGCTAATATTGATGTCATATGGTAAAAATCAACCAAAAATGCATTTCAATTTTACAAATTTCCTCAAATGCATTAACAAATTACGATAACAAATTATACTTATCCGTGTTTTATACAGGATTGTCCATCTCCATAAAATGAATTCAGTCATACAAGTGGCAACAAAAATGAAATATATTATAAATCAATCATAAAATCGTGTAAAATAGAGATATAAAACGACATGGATCATAAATAAATAATAATTTTTAAAATATCAAACTTCTTGAAACATATTGTTAAACAATCGATGTAGAAAACTAGTAATAAAAATTTTAAAGAAAATTTATTTTTAAAACTTTTAAACTTACTTTTATAAGGAGTCCGAATACTTATGTAGCGTGAAAATTCGATGGTTTTTTATACTTTTTCAATTATGTAGGTAACGTTTTATGCTGAATACGAATTATGTTGTATTTTGACATTTGTATATTCTAATATACCGTAAACGATTTTTTCCTTAAATGTATATTTATTTAAATATATGACGTAGATGTCAAAGTTATACTAGTGACCCAACACTTTTGTGACCGATTGTACTTGCTTCCCTCGCATGCGATGTTTACTTCAGTGTTTATAAATCCTGTTTTGAATGTCCTCATTTATCAAAAATCAGTTCTTTGTCAAGAATCATTATTGGTATTAACCCTTTCGGTACGAGCGCGCTGTCCGCCGTGACACTCCTACTGTATAGGGTGCCGCGCCGAAAATGCGCACATAGCACAGGGTCAATCCACTTTTTTATATGAAGATTTTCTTAAGCGTCAAGTAAGAACTGTGCTTAATCCGTTTCTAAATCTTTTGTTTCCTGTAAACATTCTGTAATGAACCTACAATATGTTAAAAACTATGAACAAGTTTCGAACAAAAATGTAACCACAAATTTTTTAAATCAATTCAGATCAAACGACAATTATACATGTAGCTGTTTTTCGGAATCCTTGTAAGAAAAGACTTTATCCATTTGAGTCCCAGGGATTATTCAGAAAACACGGTCGAAAAATGCCGAACAGCGTGATAGCGCGCTTGTCTTAACCCCTTGACCTACAATGACGGGCATAGCCCGCGTACGATGATCGGGCCAGAAGTAAATATTACTTACAAGTCGTGCGAACGTCCCGAACGCTGCGCGAGCTTGTATACAATTTCGGCCCAACATCTTCGAATCTAAATCGTAGGTTAAGGGGTTAATTAATTGCGAAGAGAATGAAACGGCACGATAGCGCTCGTCAAGATTGAGAAACAAAACAAAAAGAAAAAGAAATGAAAAAAAGGCAGCTATGCGATGTACGTGCGTCACTAAAGTTTGATCGCGACACAAGATGTGAACAGTGCGATCGCGCTGCTTGGGATTCAAACAGTTATTAGAATAATTTCTAATATGTCAGAAACATAGCTCACATGTATGCCAGATGTATTCGGCACTCATCCATACCGGTCATCAGATGGATGCCGGATATATCCGGCGCTCGTACCGAAAGGGTTAAACACTTACATCAATATCACACATGATGCTGGTAAACAGAAATGTTTATATAACAAATAAATAATGAATGCTCTTTTTTAACACTCCTTATAAAATTATTACATTAGATATATGCTCATTGAAATATTATAATCTTTTAGCATTCGTGAACTAAGAAACAGAATCTATTGATTGTGCAGTAAATTCTCTGAAATTATTCCTTAGCTTGTAAACAAAAATAGACAATTTGAGAAGAGGAGATACAATTATTCGGGTCACGCAGCTCGTTTTTATAGTTACCGATTGTCAACAACTACAAAAACGTGGCGCAAGGCTGTAATTTTTGTTTGCAAGTTGAAGGACAATTTCAAAGAATTTACTGCAATTGCCTCGGATTTACATATATAGACCACTCTCAGTAGATCACGGTGAACTATAATTATTTTTGTCACCTAAAATATTTTTATTAGGGGAAATGCGTTTTTTGCTATAATTTGGGTATACGTTTTTACCTAACTTATTTATGTTGACATTAAATGTAGAGAGTGATGAATAAAATATTTCTCCAAAATGTATCGTTTTTTACCACAATCTCCCTTAATTCATCACTCTATGAGAAGTAACTTGTTAGTTGAAATGTTAGAATTACAGAAGGCTAAACAATTGATAAAATCTTTTACATTATGACATTTATTGCAATATTTTATGGAAAAAAGTGCTTATACACTAAAATAATTTTAAATAGCCCTTTTACATGGGAAAGCGCATGTCAGATACACGTATCTCATTTGTTTTTATACAAGATGTTCCAGCTGAAGCACAAATTCAATAGTTTCAAAATGAGAAAATTTGGAGCGGCTGATTGGATACGCATATTCCTACGTGAAAGGGCTCTAAAGAAATCATTCTATGTTGGATCTATTTTAGAGCAACATTATTTTTATTTATAGTCCTATCATTTGGAGGAATATTGATATCATCTGCGGTACTACTGATTCCTACAATATTACAATCAGAACTTCAGATTCGTTATTTAAATATTTTTGGATTCTTTTATTCTGAAGTTAGTCGGAATTCTAGTCTGGTCACTTACCAACTTCTAATTGTAATCTGGATGGGACTATTCTCGTTAACCTGTACGGAATCATCGCTTGCTGTCATTGCCTCTTACTTGTGTGGATTATTGGAGATCACCAGGTATGTTTTAGTTCAATTGTTTCATACGTTCATACAGATCCCAATCGTTTTTGATTACACAAGCTTGCGATACTCTATAGCCTATTCGTAACATCTGTTTGTGATGAATTATCTTCATATTCCATTGCCGGAAATGTACTGTTGGATGGCTAGTTTGTTGTTGCCATATTAATACATATATTTTAGTAGAATCCTCATCTACGTTTGTAGCCTTAGTAATACGCTCGCGAATAAATTGATTCACTTGTTCAATGCAAAGTGTGAACCATGTAGCTTTACTAATCATCGGAGCATTAATCTGTAACGTGATAACAAATTGAGTAGTCCTTTTAGAGAACAGTGTAAGTGCCAATAGTAAGAAAGCCTTCTTATAATTCAGTAATATAGAATATTACTGAAAAGAATTATTTCTGTAGAAAATAATGTATGAACTATGTATTCACATGAACGCCAAATATCATTCATTCATTTAATAATAATTTACTTGCATCATTCCTATTATCGACAAAAAGCATACAATTAATTTTCTGTGCAAGTTACTTAGGGACACAGAGAATCGTAACATAGGAACTATAATAAATAAGAGAAAACAGTATGGATTTCCAGATTATATAAGTACTTGATTGTTTAGTAGGGAGAAACGTACTTATAAATAGCAGTTAAATAATTAGAAATATATTAGTGAAAACGACTATATTAACAGTACACATATATTGCCATTGCTTTAGTTATCGAATACGAACGGCTGTCGACCAGATGGCGAAATCAGGGACAGGGACATTGAATATAATAAACATACAATTAGCCATGGATACGCACCAGCGTGCTACTGAGTTGGTACCTTCATTCATATATTAGAACAACATAATCGCTATATATTTTGCTATATATTTATTCTATCTTCTCTTACGTCTTCTCTTTCCAACATGAATGTACTGAAACATGAATTTGCGAAGGAAGACTCTCGGCAAATATTACGAAGTCTTTGGCGATACCTTACTTAGTGGCGGTCTTAGCAGTTGTCGGCTCGTTTGCTGTAAATATATACCGCGTAAGCATTGTTAAAAGTGTGTAGGAAAAAATAGGTTGAAGATCACTGCTTCTGTCGATGGAAATATAATACGACTACTTTTGATACCAATAGTTATTCCTGGCGCTTGGAGATTTGAGTGACAAGGAAAACATCATGGTTTGTGTACAAGTTACACTAGTACATCTGTTCATTATATATTTAAACAATTATAACGGACAAAAACTGATTACTTCTAGTATTGGATTATTCAATGATATGTAAGTTCACTCTCTTGAATAAATGTAATTTCTTTCAGCGATAATTCTGATAATAAAATCGATTTAATAATAAAGGTAATGTGACTCACACTTTCGAATAAGTTTTGTAGAAATTACATTAAAAGATTACATAATTAAGAATCGAAACACACGTATTGAATAATAATGACATGACGCTATTCAATACAATAGATACGATTCATTGTGGTACTGTATACCACCGAAGTCGCAGAAAGTATTACTATTCGTATTGATGAGAAGTAGTTACCAAATGGAATTTAGTTGCGCTGGTTTATTCATTCCGTCTAACGAAGGCTTTGCGAAGGTAATTAACTGTTTTGGATACTATTAAATGTGATGTCTTCATTCGCAGATTCAGTGAACATCTGTTTCAGATGATGAGCACATCATTTTCGTATTTTACCGCAATCACGTCGGTTCAGTAACAAACTTAGAAATGTTGGACGGTAATGCTGATCCTTGTTTAGAAGAGGAAGTATATATAATGCGTGTAAAAAATTGAATATTATAGTACGTATGTAGTACGCATTGTATGTATATGTGTTGTTACACCTTTCAAGCCTCCGGGTGTCAGTCCAGAGCAATACGGCAACCGCGAATTTTTATAGGCGCAAAGTTCACTCCACCTGAAATAAGAAACTACTCAAAAAGTCTGACGCGACAGAAGATATCACTAGTAGTGTGGGAGACCGGGTCGGGACAGAAACGGGAATGCTTTTCTAATTATCTAATTGTATCGTCTTGGCAATAAAATCTTTAATAAAGGAAATGATTAAATAACATGAGTGATATCTACTGATAATTTCATAAGGAGTTTGTTGATGTAGCAACAGCTTGGTTTATTACACATTACACAAAGTGTCGTCTCCTAAAATTTAGCGACATCTGAGGTCATTTGAAGTAACTTTTTCCTTTGCGAAAAAGTTATGTAGTAGTATGCAATCCGCAGCTTTGTTTACGAGTTATTAACGAAAAACAGTGACCAATAAGAGGCGAAAGCGGGAATTACAAGGTAGTTGATCGATCGAGTGCAACGTGCTTCTACCGTGGAGCGTGACAAAAGGAGGGCAAATCGCAGAGCGTGAACTTTCCGAATTTCATTTTAATATGTGACAATGATAATTAAAAAAAAATGTTATACCTCCTTATTTCAGAATGTCTGAAGAATATTTGCAGAAGGTTATAATATGTGCAGGAGGATAGTGCATTGACTTCGTACAATCTATGATGAACATAATGTCTTGCAAATATGTTTCCGGGTACGATATTCGAACGCTCACTTTTACTGCACCATCATTAAACACTGATCACTTATTCAATAACATTTACGGACGAACTTCCCTGGGTTAATATGTATGGCCCTGAAAAGAGCCGATCTTTTTATGGATCGCGTTCGATGTTCGCTTAATAACACGCACCGCGTTGATACGTTTTGTAATGATCTTCTGAACCCTTTGGAGCATTCTTGTAGTAAACGCGTTGTTCGTACCGTATAAGAATATTTACGAATATTATAATACTCTTGCAACATCCTTTCTATTTTAATGCTTGGGACGAACTGCAGAAGACTGCCACGGTGGCCGACAATATTCCGTTTTCCTACGAACGAATTTGAACTGTTTTTCATCGAACGCGAAACATTGTCGGTCATCGTACCAGTCCTCTGCAGTTCATCCAGAGCATCAATATGGAAAGGACGATGCAAGAAAATTTCCTGATTTATTCTTGTACGATTCGAGCAATGCGTTTACTCCAAAGATGCTACAAAGGGTTTGGAAGAACGTTACGAAAGGTGTCAATACGGTACGAACGCGTCTCATAAAAAAATCGACTCTTTTCAGACTCACACATATTAACCCAAGGAAGTTTGTCTGTAAATATTATTGAATAAATGATCAGTGTTTATTAATAGTGCAATAAAAGTGAACATTGAAATAGCTTGCCCAGAGATATACCTCTATTCGTTATCGTCGTATACTGATCAGCTGTGCAATTCATTATACATTGTACGAGGTCAATGTACTATCCTTTTAAACACATTTCCATGCATAAAGTATGTGCAATAAATAAATAAAATTTATGTTATTAGAAACTACAATGACTGTTCTATTATATTATAAAATAAGAACATCAAATTCACTATTATTACTATTATTATTATTAATAAGAGTTACTGTAGTTCAGGAAAGTCATAAGTTGAACTTTAGAAATGTACATCGATTGATTCCGCAACTTCTGTTTCGATTTTCTTTCAGTACCTGAGCTCATGACGCGCAACTTTGGTGTAATCCTACTTGACATTTTTGTAGCTGCCTCTGAATCTACGTGTTCCGTGCAGAACATTTCGTAACGGCTAGGTGGAAATAATACAATAGAGGAAAAACAAGGAAGCGTTTCTTGCCCTGGATCTGCTACGGAATTCCTTAGTAAAGCTAACTAACGGTCCCCGCGATATGGAAAGAACAGTTGGGGACGGTGTATATGCAGGGATCACTGTCGGATCATGTACTTGCGAAAAAGACGTCGATTCAGTACTCATCTGCTGACAAGCGTTCAAAGCATCCGTTCTAATCTCGTTGCCAACATGTTAATTCGGAAATGTGCCTACACTCAGCGAGTGGTAAGCGAGACTGGCGGAAACGTATTTGATACGTCAGATTGATTGAAAAATGTCAGACGGAAGGTGAAATAGTTTCATTCTATAACTAGGTTATATCTTTACACGAAGTTTGAAGCTCGCGAATATGCATATCTTCTGTTACTAGGACAATTTCGTTTTGTTGTTTATAATGTTCATATAAACAAATGATCCATTGTGAAAAATTGAAGAATTATATTGTCGCCAGCTGCGGTTCTATGTTTACGTATGTGTGTACTCATTATTGACCACTCGTGGATGCAAAAATGGAGTCACTAGTGCGTTTGATTAAGTTTATACACTAGCTGAAACATGGTAGTAATTTCATCTATTCAACACTACTTGAAGTCCGCTATTTAATGCAGAAGAAGAGATCGTTACCCCCTAGGGGTAGATTGGAAATCTGAGCTCACATCCGTGTTGTATAGGTGCGTAGAAGAATTGTGGTACTGCTTTGTAACGAAGGACTTCTATTCGTTAACAATAAAGATAGACGTTGTCACGCCGAAGTTTTTCTGAGCCCGTTTTACGGTATCCGGAAATCATTTGACTTCGGGTCTTGCGGACGTAACGGTCGGGCCGCACGCGGTTGCGCTCAACGTTTGTCAACCTTGCGGGGCAAAGAGGGGGGCGCTCAACGTTCGTCGACGCTGCTGTGCAAGGGCAAGAGGGCCGAGCGTTCGTTAACGCTGAGGGTTAAGGGAGAGGGGGATCGCTCGCACATGCTCCATCCTTATCATCTTACAGTCAACGTTTTTTTGCGACGATGTTGTTGCCGACTCGTCACTGGTTGCTTGCTCATTTTACACCTGGAAGCTGTCGCCAATGGCATATCCATTGCAACCGCTTTTTAAGGTAAGGACATTTCGTTGTCTGACGAGTCGCGCGAAGTGGTTTTACCATCGTGTACGCCGTAATTTTTTAAATATAATATTTTGAGAGTCTATGCAACAAGAGAGGGAGATAGGGAGAGAGGCAGAGAGAGAGAGAGAGAGAGAGAGAGAGAGTGACAGGGAGAGAGGGAGAGAGAGAAAAATCTATTTTGTTTGCCGACTCTAATGCGATGGCGATAGGTGTCGCAGCGTACAGGGCAAAGGGGTAGGAGTCGCATGCTTGCACCCGGTCTTAATATCCGATTCTCACGCAGATACTGATAGAATTGTGTTATCATACATATAAAACATGGGTGGGGCTGTTTCATCACCATCTACGAAACCAGACATCGTTTGTTGCCGCATCGAAGATATTTTAACACGGTGTTCGTAATTATTCTGCTCGAGGACGTCAAATTGAAGTTAAAAACTTTGATTCGTAGTTAGTGCAAAAGCATTTCGCGAAGATGACATAAGTTTTTAAAGACATATTAAAGTACTTGACGCGTATATTGGGGTTTATTAGAAATATCGAAGAGTACCGCGATTGGACCAAATCCTACATCGATTCCTTACAATGTTGTACCAAATAAATGATTACTGTGACGAACTGTCCGTATATGTGCCAAATCTAGTTTAGTGCCGACCATATGTCGTATGAAAACTTTGAATGTCTCGTTAAGTCATCGTTTTTCATTGCACATCGGCTGAGGCGTCAGAGTATCGACCCTTCGTTGGGCAAACATAGAGTCGGTATTTAAAAATCGAATACAGTAATTTCTCCCAGATTTGCGCTACTTCAGTATTCATAATAAAGACAGCTGAATACACTCACCAGAAAAGTTAAAAAAACTATACAAGAGCATACTAACAAAGAATTTAACAAATATCTTTCCAACTTAACGCCCAGCGAGGACACAAATTATTCATTGTGGAAAGCGACAAAACGACTAAGCAGACTAACAATGCCAGTACCTGCAATAAGAAATTCAGATGGTTCTTGGGCAAAGACCTCCTTAGAACAAGCATCACACTTGCAGAATACTTACATAAAACCTTTCGACCCAACAACACGACATCGAAACCATTAGCAACAAACGATCTGGCTGACAGAGAGAGAGAGAGAGAGAGAGAGAGAGAGAGAGAGAGAGAGAGAGAGTGAGAGAGAGAGGGAGAGAGAGAGAGAAGTCACAATACTACACGCAAAACTACAATAAACGAAATAAAAAAATTGATCACAAGTATTAAAACTAATAAAACTCCGGGCTTCGACTTAAATAGTAGTAAATTAATTATTATTAATATTCAACGCTATATTCAAAGATTAAATTGTTTCCAAAATTACATGGAAGCTTACCAAGATAATAATACTACTGAAACCAAATAAAATCATACATGAACCATCTTCGTATAGACTCATTTCCCTATCAATGTCCTCAATTATCTCTCGCGTATGGCAGAACTTCGACGATATCGGCTTGCCAGAAATCGTCGAGTACGCGGGTTCATGATTATCACCTTATCGGTTTGACTTTAGCGCTATATTACTACGTATTTTATTCATGATTTCCACTTTGCATGAGCTGTTACGCATTTATCGCCAGCTTCTCGCTAGCCGTTATTTTAGCCAGTATTTCCACCTTGCACTATTCTGTTTCACATCTTTCATCAATTTTTCGTTAGCATTTATTTTTCTACGATGCTCCTTTCTTTGAAACGTCATCAACGTACGATTTGATAGTTGCGTCATCGTTTGCTGTTGGATTCGCAACACGAACGATCTTAGTTCCTCGCGCATCGTACAATTTATCAGGTGAACATAATAGCATTGTCGTGTACATAATTTTTAAATATCAAATACAGAACCGAAATATCGGACGATGCTTTCGACTCGAACTCGCTCGATTGATATAACGTGTCAAATTTATTAACCCTAGAAAGATAACCATATGACAACGTA